AAGCCCAAGAAGCAGTTAAGGGGACTTAAACCCTGAATCTGGGTGTCAGTTTCCTGATCTTCACCATGCTCCTCTGACGCCCACTCTCCTGCCGCCTCTGCCTCATATCTTGGGCTGTCCCATGATGCCAGTCCCTGCTCTGCCAAGAAAGGGAAACGGGGACTCCCCTGGCGGTCCAGGGGTAAAGAACCCGCCTCCCAATGTAGGAGACTCAGGTTCCGTCTCTGGTAGGGGTACTAAGATTCCATGCCCCTTGGAGCAACTGAGCCCAGGTGCCACAACTAGTGAGCCTGAATGCTGTGGAGTTTGTGCATCTCAACGAGAGACGGCCGTGTGCACCATAGCTAGAGAAAGCCTGTGCACTGCAGCTAAGAGCCCATGTACTGCAACGAAGACCCAGGGCAGCCAGAATTAGAAAAGAGAAAGAAAACAATTATTTTTCTCTAGGTTCTGCCTGTTTGACACATGCAAACAATCACAAATACACATATATCTTCCTTTCACTGGGAAATTTAAAGTAATTTATAATAGCAGTATTAGCTGTGTTGCTAAAACATCATATAAGATTAGAGATTTATAGTTAAAGTAGTGACAGGAAGCTGACAAGTGATTTAAGGGGCTATAGAACCTTAAGAATAAAGTCGATATGAAGAAAGGAAAAAATAAAGTCCTATTCTAGAAATGTTTTTCATCTGAGGGTGTTTTGTGACTTCTGAAGATCCCTTGTGTGGTCAAAACCCAGGATGGACTTTCATATCACTGCAGCCTGGAAGGAAGGATGGGAATCCCAGCTCTCTGCCACCATCAGCCTCCCCAAGAATCTCTAATGGAATGTTCAATCCTATGTGCTATCCTGGTATTTGTATAACGGACTTAACTGATGCCCGGATGTTATTTACATGTCAGCCTGGTTCTAGAGACCAGAGACCCTATTCCTTCCTCTTTCCTATTCTTCCCTTATTAGAGGGAATCTTATGAATTCATTTTTGCATTCTGATAAATGGCTGCACTGGTACTAATGGCTGGAATCAAGATTGCCAAGAGAAATATCAACAACCTCAGATATGCAGATGATACCTACTCTAATGGCAGAAAGTGAAGAGGAACAAAAGAGCCTCTTGATGAAGGTGAAAGAGGAGAGTGAAACGTACAAAAAACTAAGATAGTGGCATCCAGCCCCATCACTTCATGGCAAACAGAAGGGGAAAAAACGGAAGCAATGACAGATTTTATTTTCTCGGGCTCCAAAATCACTGCAGGCATTATTCAATAGCACAACAAAGACACTGATCCCTTAAGAAATGCTCAGAGTTTTTGAAGGCTCTGTGTCAGGAACTCAGTCAAAAACCAACTAAATTTCTTTTCTTTTTTGAAATTTATTTTGGCCATGCCCATTTTGGTCATGCAGAAACTTAGTTCTCCAACCAGAGATCCAATCCATGTACCCTGCACTGAGTGTGTAAAGTCTTAACCACTGGACTTCCAGGGAGGTCCCCAGACAAATTTCTTTTTACAATATTATACCTGCATCTTTGAGCATTAGTTCAAAATTTCTCTAGCATTTATAGCCTCTCTACCTTATAACAATGTTATAAAGCAAGGGCTAGGTAAACCTGAGCTAGTATCATTACTGGGATTCTCAAAGTACTGGGGGGTACTGGGAAGCATTGTTGTTTTTAGTCTCTCAGTTGTGTCCAACTCTGCAACCCCATAAGCTGCAGCACACCAGGCTTCCTTGTCCTTCACCATCTCCTGGAATGTGCTCAGACTCATGTCTGTTGAGTCAATGTTGCCATCCAACCATCTCACCCTCAGTTGCCCGCTTCGCCTCCTGCCATCAATCTTTCCCAGCATTAGGGTCTTTTCCGATAAGTCAACTCTTCACATGAGGTGACCAAAGTATTGGAGCTTCAACCTCAGCATCAGTCCTTCCAATGAATATTCAGGGATGATTTCCTTTAGGATTGACTGGTTTGATCTCCTTGCTGTCCAAGGGACTCTCAAGAGTCTTCTCCAGCACCACAGTTTGAAAGTAACAGTTTTTCGGCACTCAGCCTTCTTTACGGTTCAACTCTCACATCCATATGCAAGGAACATTATAGTTTCCTAAGTTGCCCCATTTGCCTCCTGAAACCCAGCACAGTGGTCAGATGGAGCCATTAGAGGCCATGCCCTGCCGATTTCTCATCTGAAAAGAAAGGACTGACCGAGAAAACTCCAGGTGCTCCCTGCTCTATTTTCTGGTTCTCTGATTTCTACAAAAACACCAAAGTTCCCTGAGAACAGTCTGTGCCTCATCACGGAACCCTAAGCACTGGGCTGTAGTGTTCGTGCCCCAGGCCCTCATGGAAGCTGCCTTTAGAAAGTTCACCGAAGCCTCCAGGCCAGTCCTGCAGGGGAGTGTGATGTGGGGTGGGCCCTCTGAGGCCTGAGTCCTCTGCCTTGGGCAAGTCATTAACGCTCCTGGTCACCCACCTGTGGAAGGAGTTTAAAGGGTTCTTGCCAACACCGCCCACGCAGAATGCTCTCTCAGTATCCAAGCTGAGGGCCTGTCTCCCCTACAAGGACTGAGGGGCAAGGGGCAGCGCGAAGTGAAGCCAGCAGCCAGCACAGCCTCCCTCTTCTATGGAGAGCCAAGGCTGCGGGATGGCCCTTGAGCACAAACCTGGAGGCCATGCCTGGTCCATTGTGGGTCACTGGACACCCTTCTCAGAGGCCTGGGCTGCTGGATTCCTGCATTTCCCTTATGAGGCCCTGCTGTGGGCACTCTGGTTCTGAGCCCAGCCTCTTTCTCCAGGACATGCCTAACTCCTCCAGCAGGCATCTCGTTGGGGAAGGTTTTCTGATGCTGGCCCAGAGGTAACGGGCACATCTAGCCTATGATCTTTGATTTCTTCCATCCTATTGATGGCCTTGAAGGAAGGGAGGCTTTTCCAGGTGGCTCAGACAGTAAAGAATCTGTCCCGTGTGCAGGAGAGCCAGGTTTGATCCCTGGATTGGGAAGATCCCCCAGAGAAGGGAATGGCTACTCAGTCCTGTATTCTTGCCTGGAGAATCCCAAGGACAGAGGAGCCTGGTGGGCTACAGTCCAAAGGGTCTCAAAGATTCAGACATGGTTGAAGTGACTTAGTACACATGCACACACTGGATTGAATTGTGTTCCACAAAAGTTCATGTAACCTTATTGGAAAACTGGATTTTTTGCAGATGTAATCAGGTTAAGATGAGGTCAGAGTGGAGTAGGATGGGCCCAACCCATTGATTGGTGTCCTTATAAGGAGAGGGAGTTTTTTTTTTTTTTGAGAAATCTACAACGAATATTCTATTCAGATTTTCTGCAGTCATTGTGGAATATATCCACAATTTAAATAATCCCACAGAACCTAGTGACCATCACAGAGCACCTAATATGAGGCAAACATTATATATACATAATTATAGTCTTTAAAACAATGTAGGTCATATTAGCCACAAGTTTCAGATGAAGAAATTGAGACTAAGAGAGATGAAGATTCTTATCTAAAGTCACAAGATCAGTCACAGACAAAGCTGGGGCAGGTCAGGCTCCAGGGCAGGCCTTTGGGCAGAAGCAGGTTCACAGCGAGGGCTCGTGTGCAAGTGGGGGTGCCCCCCCCCCCCGACAACACCCTCACAGCAAACACAGGCTGCGGCTCCCTGGAAGGGGGAGACCGTCAGCTCCAGGCAGACCCCAGGGACTGCCCAGGCTCCAGAATCCTCAGCAGAAGAGGGGCATGGGGGCTCCATGCCTCAGAACAGTCCTTGGCTCACACAGCACCGTGAAAATACAGAGCTAAGAACCTCCTGGACTGCAAGGAGATCAAGCCAGTCAACCCTAAAGGAAATCAACCCTGAATATTCACTGGGAGAACTGATGCTGAAGCTGAGGCTCCAATACTTTGGCCACCTGATGTGAAGAGCTGACTCACTGGAAAAGACCCGAATGCTGGGAAATATTAAGGGCAGGAGGAGAAAGCGGTAACAGAGGATGAGACGGTTGGATGGCATCACCGACTCAATGGACATGAGGTGGAGCAAACTCCGGGAGATGGCGAAGGACAGGGAAGCCTGGCGCACTGCAGTCAGTGGGGTCGGAAAGAGTGGGACAAGGCTTAGGACTGAGCAACAAGAAGGAAACCGACACAGATGATATTCATTAACCTAATGACAGCAGACAGAGACCCAGGGCCACGACAGCACAGCCCCCAGCAGTCATCTCCCCAGCCCTGAGGTCCTTGAAAGGAAACAGCTAACATTCCCTGTATAGTTAAAAGGAGAATCAGTAAAGCAAATGAGACTTAGGGGAAAGGAATGAATGTCTGTCACTTGTTAGAACAACAGAAGGAGGATTCTGGGAGATGAGTTCATGTTGTTCATTGTTCTGTCTGCATCTCCCAGCTACCCTGTAGCCCCAGGCCACCCCCCAGATTACAGTAATATTAAATAGTTCACTGGAATGCCAAGCTGCAGCTGACCTGGGGCCAGAGCATGGCCCAGGCCATCTTGGATCTTGGGCGCAGAGAGGCTGCTGATAAAGGAGGTCCGCTCTGTAAGATGTCTCAGCTCTGAGCAGCCAGCCCTCGGTGTCTGCAGACCAATCTCCCCTCTAGGGTTCTGATACTAGGGTTCTCGTGGGCCACCGACTGGAGAGACAACTGAGCTGAGGGCCCAGGCAGCAGGAACTCAAGCCCCGGGGCAAGGCGGGGAGGGGAGACCATTGTCAGAGCCCAGACTCCCCGGACCTTTCTCGCTTCACTGGGTGCCCAGGCCAGCGCGCGCGAGGGAGGGGCAAGCGGCGGAGGAGGGAGGAGACTGGCCGGCGGCGTGGAGAGGAGAGGGCGTGCGCTCCGGCCCGCGTGCGGGAGGAGGCGCGCGGGCAGCGGCCCCACAGATGCGCCAGAGGCCCGCCAGCGCGATGGAGCCGGCGGACCTGGGGCTCGGGGACTCATCCTTGCACCGTTACCTGGACGGCGAGTTCTGGAGCCTCAAAAACGAGCTGCGCGGGCTCCTGGGCGGCTGTCCGCTCTTCCGGCCCAGGTACGTGTCCCCGAGGGTACCGCGCGGTGCACCCCGGGGAAGGGCGAGCTGGGGTCTGTGTGCTGCGCCCGAACACAGGTCCCTCCCGACCTGACAGAAGATGGACTGCCCGTCCCAGTCCTGTGGACGCAGCAGAGCCGGCGACTTCGTGGCCCTCAGGAGGTGTCCTCTGCCCACCGTGCTCCCTCCTACACGGAGAGTAGGGACGAACGGGTGCGCCCCGCAGCGGCGGACGGGATGCTTGGCCCAGAGTGGTAGCTTCTAAACCTGTTTCCTAACCTGTTTCTTGAGTCCCCGCCTTTGGGTGTCACCCTTGGGGAGGCAGCGGTGGTTTCTGCACTGGGGGTAACTGGTGGGGGCGCGGGGCTCAGGGGAGGTGACGGGTGTGAGATGGTGGGGGTGCCCGTGTCTCCCGGCCTTGTCCTTCCCCCTCTCCCACCGTCTTCTTTATCTTCTCAAAGCATGCTCCAGGGACTACTGGTGGTACCCAAGACTTTTCCAGGAGCTTCACAAGTTAGAAATTATTTTAGTGATAACATGAAGCAGTTACTGACCTTTTCATTCTCATTTTCTCACGAAGGTACAGTGGTAGTTCCCAGAGACTATAGGATGTATAATTTCCCAACATATCTGCGGAAGTAGAGAGCAGCATCCAGTTATTTCAAGGCAGGCATTAACAAGACTTGTAAAGATGCAGGACAAGGCCACTTTTCTAATTAAAAGTGTAGTTCTTTTGTAAATATTTAATGAGTTTATTATTGTTACATTCAAATGATTTAATAAATATTTAAACATTTTTTCTTTTATAATTTCTAATATGATAAATACCCATAGATATATGCGAACCCCAATAATTTTTTAAAAGACAATTTTAAAGAGCAGTGTTAGGTTTATAGCAAAATTGAGAGGAAGATACAGAAATTTCCCATATATTAATACCTCCTGTCCCCACACAGGCATATACTCTTCCATTATCAACATCACTCACCAGAATGGACTTTTTTTTTAGCCAAAGATGAATCTCCGTGGGTACATCATAGTCACTCAGAGACCACAGTTTATGTTAGAGTTCACTCTTGGTGTTGTACATTCTGTGGATCTGGACAATGTTTAATGACATGTGCCCAGCATTTTAGGGGCTTCCCAGGTGGCTCAGTGGTAAAGAATCCACCTGCCAATGCAGAAGATGTGGGTGCGATCCTGGATTGGGAAGGTCCCCTGGAGGAGGAAATGGCACCCGACCCCAGTATTCTTGACTGGAGAACCCCATGGACAGAGGAGCCTGGTGGGCTACAGTCCACGGAGCTGCAAAGAGTCAGACACGACTGAGCGCAGTGTAGCCCCCATCACTATGGTGTCATTCAGAGTATTTTCACTGCCCTAAAAATTGTCAGCACTTGGTTCTTCTCTCCTCACCACACACCCCTGGCAACCACTGATCTTTTCACTGTTTCCATAGTTTCGCCTTTTTAGGATCATGTAGTTGGGATCATACAGTATGTAGCCTTTTTAGATTGCCTTATTTCACTTAGTAATACATCTTTCAGCTTTCTCCATGTCTTTTCCTGGTCCGAGAGCTCATTTCTTCTTCGTGCTGAATGCTGCTCTGTTGTCTGGATGAGCCAGTTTATTTATCCATTCATTTACTGAAGTCCACCTTGGATGCTTCCAGGCTTTGGAAGTTGTGCGTGAATCTACTATAAACATCCATGTGCAGGTTCTTGTGTGGAGGCCTCAAGACTTTTTAAGAGGGCAAGGAGGTCCTGCTGCTTTAAGTGATACTGTCACATCCCTTTATACAGGGGTCCCCAACCTCCGGGATCTGATGCCTGATGATCTGAGGTGGAGCTGATGTGCTAATAATAGAGATAAAGTGCACAATAAATGTAATGCCTTTAAATCATCTCAAAACCATCCCCCTTCCTTGGTGTATGGAAGAATTACCCTCCATGAAATCGGTGCCTGGTGCTCAAAAGGCTGGGGACCACTGCCCTTACGTCCCTTTTCCTGTCTTCCTGTGTCTTTTCACTTTAGTTCCTGGGCTGTCATCTCTTTGTCTTTTCTTACTTAATTACTGCAGTTTAAGTGATGGGAAAGAATGCTAACATCTAAACCACTGATTTGGGCCAAGTAGAAGATTCTTTGCCGTGAACTGTGCAGTCTGCTTTGGGACAGAGGGAAAGGCAGGCTGGAATTGGAAAGGCAACCAGCAGCATATTACTTGTGTGATTGTCATCAAGTGAGATTTTACCTTCCTGAGCTTCCATCTGCAGAAAGGGGATAACATCTGTGCTGCTGGCTTAAATGAGAAACTGTGAGGAGGGCATGGCAACCCACTCCAGTATTCTTGCCTGGAGAATCCCATGGACAGAGGAGCCTGGCGGGCTGCAGTCCATGGGGTGGCAAAGAGTCACTGACTCTTTGACTGACTAACACCAGACATGGATTCACAGATGCAATATGAGGCCTCCTGTAACCAGTCCTCTGTCTGCAGGCCCTTGAAATTCAAGTAGGTGTTAGAGGAGGCGGGGTTCACGAGTGTGAGTGCTGTGTGTACAGCAGGAAGTTTGTACAGTGTCAGGCACTCCCAGGACATTAGAGCCCAGGAAACAGTTTGCTTCCCTAAAAAACCAAAATCCTGGTTTTGCAGTTTTCTGAGCACGTCACCACTGCCCTCCTCTGTGCAGGGATTCATCCTCTGGTGTTCTGTGCCAGATGTGGTGTGGGTGCAGCCCAGCTTCCCCCCTCTCTCCCCAAGACCAGCCTGCCAGGCTGAGTCCTCCCTGTCCTCACTCTGATGGCAGGTCCCCCAGGCCCTGGGAATGTCCCCTGTCTAAGGGTCCCACCTGCCCTGAGGTCCATAGGACAGCATGCCCTTGGCTGGGGCAGCAGTGGATTCTGGGCCACTTGAGGCTCCTTCCTGAGGTTGCAGGGAATATTTAAAAACAACATTCGGGGACTTCCCTGGTGGTGCGGGGGTTAAGATCTCGCCTTCCAATGCAGGGGTGCAGGCTTTTTCCCTAGTCAGGGAGCTAAGATTCCACATGCCTCGTGGCCAAAAACCAAAACAGAAAACAGAAGCAATCATGTAATAAATTCAATAAAGGCTTTTAAAATGGTCTCCATCAAAAAAAAAAAAATCTAAAGAAAAAAGAGCACCATCTGAAATGTGATAAGCTTTTCAAACATTTTTGAGTTTGTTTCTTGGCAAATCGGGGCTCTCTCCTGGGGGCCAGGCTGGTGAGTGCACATTTAAGGCCTCTGTGCGGTTGTTTCAGTCCTGTCCGACTCTTTGCAACCCCATAAGCCCACCAGGCTCCTCTGTCCATGGGATTCTTGAGCAAGAATACTGGAGTGGGTTGCCATGCCCTCCTCCAGCGGATCCTCCCAACCCAGCTATTGAACCCTCCTCTCTTATGTTGCCTGCATTGACAGGTGAGTTCTTTACCACTAGCATGACCTGGGAAGCCTTGTAAGGCTCACAGGCCTCTCTAGAAGTTTCTAGACTCACGGGACCTCCCCACTATCTGTTCTCAGGGCTCCCCTCCCTGGCCTGGCTGTGCTGAGCCTGGCTGCTTCCCTGTCCCCCTTCTTTTTCTTCACTGCCTTTTCTTTCCTTCCCTGGAGCAATGCACATTTCTCTTCCTAACCTTTGCAGAGATTTGGTTTTCCCCCCAGCCTTATTTATGCACTCAAGCATATGGTGAAGACCTTCTTATTGCAGAGAGTCAGATAATGTGGAAAACCTGAAAGTTTCCCAAACTGTCCCCTCCCCCAACCGCTTATTTTTTTAAACTACTATTTATTGATTTTTGGCTGTGCTGGGTCTTCTGTGCTGCATGTGGGCTCTCTCTAGTTGCCATGAGCAGGGGCTGCTCTTCATTTTGGCATGTGAGCTTCTCATTGCGGTGGCTTCTCTTGTTGCAGAGTACAGGTTCTAGGCACACGAGCTTCGGTAGTTGTGGTGCTCGGGCTTCGTTGCTCTGTGGCATGTGGCGTCTTCTTGGTCTGGGGATAGAACCTGTATCCCCTGCATCGGCAGATGGATTCTCAACTCCTGGACCACAAGGGAAGTCCCCAGCCACTTATTATTATTATTTTTTTAAGTGTACGATTTGTGTATTTATTTAAATTTTTATTGGAGTAGAGTTGATTTGCAAGTTTGTGTTAGTTTCCGTTGTACAGCAAAGTGAATCAGTTGTACATATATCAACTCTTTGTTTTAGCTTCTTTCCTCATATAGGTCATTACAGAGTACTGAATAGGGTTCTCTGTGCTACACAGAAGGTCCTTATTAGTTATCTATTTTATATATAGTAGCCAGCCACTTCGGAGAAGGTAATGGCAGCCCACCCCAGTACTCTTGCCTGGAAAATCCCATGGGCAGAGGAGCCTGGTGGGCTGCAGTCCGTGGGGTCGCGAAGAGTCGGACACAACTGAGCGACTTCACTTTCACTTTTCACTTTCATGCATTGGAGAAGGAAATGGCAACCCACTCCAGTGTTCTTGCCTGCAGAATCCCAGGGATAGGGGAGCCTGGTGGGCTGCACAGAGTCGGACACGACTGAAGCGACTTAGCAGCAGCAGCAGCAGCCAGCCACTTATTTTTATTGTGGTGAAATAAACAGAAAATAAAATTGACCATTTTAACCATTTTTACTTTAAAATTTTAAAATTTATTTATTTTTAATTGGAAGATGATTGCTCTACAGTATTCCTCTGGCTTCTGCCATATAGCAGTGCGAATCAGCCATAAGTACACGTATGTCCCCCCATCCCTGAATCTCCCCCCCACCCCACGGTAATCACAGGGCATCAAGCCAAGTGCCCTGTGCTTACGGCAGCCTCCCACTCGCTGTCGTTTTACACACAGCAGTGTATATATCAGCGCTACTCCCTGAATTCGTTCCACTCCCTCCTTCCCCCTACTGTGTCCAACCTTTTTTCTCTATATCTGTGTCTCCATTGCTGCCCTCCCTGCAAATCGGTTCATCAGTACC